TTATTAAAAAAAGGGAAAAAAAAAAAAAAAAAAAGACATTTTGCACACACAAGTTATTATACCAAGTCAAGTTTTACAAACAAGTGTCAACATACCAGAAAATGAAAAATCCAAAGAAGATTAAGATAAATAAAAATGTCATACCTCCCAAACCGTGCAGCCCAATGAAGCGCAGTCCAACCATTGATATCACGGAAATTTACGCTGACTCCAGAATTGAGAATTGGTTGCAATGCCCACTCATAACCCAATCCAGCAATGATGTGTATCACCCCTTGTTCGTTTTTAGGTAAAGAACAGGTCAGCTGGTTATTCTTTTGTAATCTAGAAGAAAGCCACAGTTCCAACTTGTCTCTCAGAAGTTCTTGCATAAGCCACTCCATGGTGCTTAATGATGTTGAAGTGCCAACCAAAATAGCATCAATGATTTGGCTCCATGAGTCTTCAGACGTTTTGGATTTGCCCAACAAATCACTTCTTGATTCAGAGCCATCTTCTTTTTGATCCGGTGGATCAGACAGAAGCATCTGCACTAATCGCACAAGCAACAGGAGTTCTTCTGGGCTCTTTCTAGCCTCTTTTTCCAGGATATTATTGCCTGCGGAAACACTAGGTTTAACACGGTATTCAAACTCCCAGATTTCACTGCAGGTCTCTCTATTTCCAGATGTAATGCAAAGCGGGACTTTTCCAGGCAACTGTGCAGGAGCATGGCAGCATATGACACCTTCTTGAATAATCTGAACAGGCACTTCAGTGTCACCAAACATACAAGCCCATGTAGACTCTGATGGTTTGTAGTGGAAAGTACCAATGATTATCACCTGCAAAGTTTAATTTTTTATGCTAACTTTGAATATCAATGTCAAAATGATAAACTCCAAACACAAAGTAGATCGCAATTATTGTAGATGTCATATTGGTTACAGAAATGGAACTCCTTTTCTGATCAATTCTCACAGAATTTTCTTCTCCATCTTCGAGTTAATCAATAAACTTTTCCATCTTCTATATGAGAAACTGTTCTACAGATTTCAAGCATGCCCATGAATTAAAGTTGGAAAAATGTTATGATGGATTGAAGATAAAGCCATCTGGAGGAAAATTCATACTAAGGAGCATGAGCTACTGTTTTAAATACAAATCACACAAAAAACTGTTAGGTGATAAGTAAATCACCCTATATCATACTCGAGCCAAAAAAATAGTAAAAAGATCATAATTGATTCAGTCAAATAGCAATGTGATTAGAAATATTCATCTATCTCGGTAAAGAACAGCCAATAATGAATTATTAGGCCTTCAGCAAATAGACAAATATAAGACAAACCTTTACAAGAATTTTTCTAATTGAAACTTGGGATTAATTATCTTATGTTACAAAACATATAGAAAATACTATCATGCAAGTACATGTTCACTGGCTTCTAAAGCATTTTAATATAGGTGAACATGATTTGTGAAATAGCTTTAATTTGTTTTACGGAGAGTATACCTTTGCACCCTCATAGGCATAACACCACTGTGGAGATATCTCCCGGATCGTGAACTTCTGCATCAAAATAAAATTTTCATGAAGAGAACTGGTCTGCCCTTGCCCAAATTCGGTTTGATAGTAGCCCTGATTGGTTTCAGAAGTATTCATCATGGAAGAGTATGAAGGATATCTGATAGACCCATGTTCCTGGGGAATCATTACAGGATCTGGCAATTTATGAGGGTGGTCAGAATGCCTTCAAACTCACAAGACTCAAAAAGTTCTTAATTGAAGTATTCCTTGAGAAGATCTTACACTTTTGGGCATCTTGTCCACCAAAATTCGGCCAATTGTAAATTTCTTGATTCCTTGCTGGCTCATTCGATGATGAATTGAGCCCCTGTTAAGTGCGAATATGTTATCATAGCAGAAGTATCTAGGTTTCCAGTTATTTAGGCCGAAAATATTTGATGACAGAAAATATATTCAATGCAAAAGTTTTCACATCAAAGGATTCTTTCTTTTTTATGTTGTTTATTAATAACCCCCAACATTTGGTGTGGCATAGCACTGCTGGTCTCATTTATAAGATTCATTTTTGATCTTTCAATAATTCTTCAATCAGACAAGAAGCCATGTGCACTCACCTGCTGAATTCAACCAGCCCTAGAAGTTAGACCAATGAATAAAATCAAATTTAATTCTCTTTGTACTTGGAATTGCTTGTCAATAGTCTTAGAGCTAGGAAGAAGTATATGAATCGAGTGAAACTAAAAAAGAAAGAGATCCCATAATCAGCAATCAGATGATTCATAAATCATTTAGTCAAATTATTGCCTACCACAAGAATGACTAAGCCAAATTATTGAGATTGTTTACCCTTTAGGTAACTGCCAACATTTACAAACTTGATCCTACCTTGACTGAAATGCACTCCTTTTATAAATTGCGTAGGAGAAAAAAAGAGATAAATCGAGAATTTAAATAAATTTGACTAAGTTAAAGGAAGGAATCTAGATAGGAACCTTTTTTTTTTTGTAATAAATGCCTACCTAAAAGTAATTGAATCATATTTCTGTTGAATTATTAAGCAATCAAAAATGATAAAAAGAGGAATCTCATACTACAAGAAAATAAATAAAGAAACATTTTGCCCCATTGCATATTTTCATAACACGGAATTAATAGCATAAAAAGGATGAAACAGTTAGAAGTATAATTATATTGGGAGAAACTTTTTTTTTTCCCACTATATATGTATGCATGTATGTTATCAAGCATAGCACAAAATAATAACTCAAGAGTGATCTCACATTTTCATTCAAGTGGGCATCATATGCTTCTGATTTGACATCTGGAAAATTCTTAGAGCTACCATATATTTCTTCCCAATTGTTTACTTCGACACCTGAGACTGCGAGTGATTGATGATGCTCAACATTGTCACCTGCAAGGTCATACTCCATTAGCAGCTCTTTCCACTTCTGACACCATTGTCATTGATAATCGTTTCAAGAACTCCCCTTTAATTACATAAATAGGTTGTAACTAACATATACCTGAACATGGTTGCAAAAGAAGACCGTCTGAAGCCTCTGGCCACTGAGCAGACAAATCATAATCATCTAGAGCGTTTCCTAAATAATTTGAGTCCTTATTCTCATTGTACAACATATTGATCTCTTCCACCACATCATCATTTAAACTTAACTGCTGCTTGATACTTTTCAATGCTTGATCTAAATCAGGATCTGATGAGTTATTAGTCTCGTCTATCCTCCCTGTAATGTCCGACTGATATATCCCACGACTCTCAACTCCTTGAGAATGTACTTCAACAGATCCAGGACTTGATGTATTTTGATTTGGTTCATAAGATTCGTTAATGACAACAGAAGAGCCTTGCTGCTGAGTTGTAAAAGAGAAGGGACTTGGACTGGAGATTGAAGAAGCTAATGGTGAGAGCTGCGATGCCAATATAGCATTCTGCATTCCCTGTAATTTACAAATAAATTGGATGTCTTATTGCAGGTCAAGTAGTGTTTGTCTATCTATGAGTTCACTTGTTACTATAGCCATCACGAGCGGAATGTAACCATTGTTTACATGTCTGAATAATACACCAGGAACTAGGTGGAATAATACACGACATCCAAAATTTGACTTTAAACAGCTGTGCTTATTTAATCCACCAATACTCAAGGCAGAAATCCAGGTAACCATAGCAGCTACACACAGTTTTGATGCAAAAATTAGCAATTTCTGATGCATCAGAAGTAAACATATCAGAATATCTAATTTCTATTGGTGATTGTCAGGCAAGACAATGCAAGATCTAAGCTATAGCCATTCAGTTCTACTAAGTATACAAATGAATATTGAAGATATAGCAAGTTTAAAATGAAAATAAATGCACAAGAGAAGTTAGAGTGAGCATCTTGTGGATTGTTGGAGGTTATGGTAAAAAGTATAGAAAAACATAATTACTTGATGTGCTTTGTCCACAGTTAGGTTAAAGAAGGCTCACCTCCTCAATGTCTCTGTAGTGAACGAGAACAATGTGCTCATAAGCCCTGTTGACCCAAGAAAAGAAAAAAGAACAGACAAAACAAAAGCATATGAATTTGGAAAGGAAAATAGTCTAGCCAACTCCACAGCCCACTTTATCTTAAAAATAACAGGGAATGTAAATTATAGGAAGCACATACATTGGATATACTAAAGAAATGATATTGGCATTATGGAAATTTTTCTATTTCTTACAACTTTAGTCTAAATTGCTGCTATAGCCAAGAAACGATAACTGTGTAAAAGGTAATACCAAATAAATATGTAATACTCACGGGTCCAACATCCAGTAACTGCGTCTCTGAAAGTTAGGATTCTGCTCTCCATGCGCATAGTAACAATTTATTGCTTCAGCATTCCCAACCTAGCCATAAGAAAAATTCCATGCAATGAGTTTACATCAACTGGCATACTCTATCTCAGCTGTAAAGTACTTTTAAATGAGGTCTCATATATAAAATTCTCCACGAAACTGATATAGTGATATATCTTGTCCCCTTGTGACAGTTCAAATAGCTGTACCCACAGTAGCATTTAAACTTTTAAAGGACATGACATGGATTCTGTTATTTATTCGCGTAATATCAACACTTCCAATGCGGATTTCATAGCTATGTTGACAATTGATGGCAATTCTAAACATTAACAGATTACAAAATTTATGCCTTAAAAGACCAGAAACATGCAAGATGTTTTTGCTCTCTTCTTGCTGATTAGAAAATTTTCATAAATATGAACAAACAGCATTTTCCTTGAACTAATTAATTATCTTGTTTAGCTAATTCCAAAAGAAGAATGATGCACATCAATATGAGAACAACATTAACAACCTTAAGCCTTTCGTGTGCTTCAGCAATAGTTCTCTGATCCTTCCTTTTGCGCCAACTATGACCATCTTTACGGAAATATTTCAGGACTCTCTTGTTGAATAGATACAAAGATCCACCTGTTTAAGCAATCAATAAGGACATAAAAACAACATCAAGATAAAGTAAAAAGCCTTAATTGAATAAATGTGAAAGTCATGAAATTACCAGATGGTTTTTGAGGAATTTGGTGTGTGAGCTGGTGCTCCTCGTAATTCTGCAATATGAAAAGCACTTCAGCAGGCTTTAGCCACCGAGTTTGAGCCTCTCGCGCCAAATGATTGATATCATATTCTGAAATTCAGAGCACAATTGCTTATGTAACTCTATTTTTCCATCGTGCAAAAATCTATCAATATAAAATTGCAGTCATAGCAAATCATGAGAAATGCTGAAAATCATTTTACCTGTTTGCATATTACTAATTCTATACAGCACAAAAAAATAGAACCGCAACAGTTGTTGAGCAAGAACTCCAATTTCAATTCTCTAAATCATTAACAAATCGATTCGTGATTTGTGAAGGAGATAGAGTACGGCGATAGATGAAAAAGGCACGGTTTCTGGGAGAGAAGGACACGACGACTTCGTATGATCGGAACTGAAAAAAGGGAGAAGGCAGGGTGAAAAGTCAAGTGTTAATTCGAATTGAAAATGAGTTCCGACAGCAAAAGAGAGACGAAACGGAGGGCGAGTAGATATTTATTCCCGTCTGGGCTCCATTCTAAAAATATATATTTTTTCCATTATCACACGTTTCTTAATAAAATTAGAATTTTGTTCTGGTGACAAAAAATTCATGATCGAAGCACTGACTTCATCTCACAATTGTCGTGAGTTTCACTATGAATAAAAAAATGCCGATCCTGTAAAATCATTATTTGAAATATATTTTTTTTTCCAAATTTTGATTTTGATGCAGCCCAAACAAGGCCTTATCTATTTGACTATAAAAAATATTTTTAAATATGAAATATCGTTCATTCACTTTCTTTAAAATTTATTTTATTTTCCATAACTTATTTTTAATTACATTTTTTAATAAAATATTTTTTACGTGAATCTATAATTTTTTCTTATACAAAACTCTAAATAAAAAAATTATTTTTCATAAAATTTATTTTAAAAAATATATATGTCAAAAATATCCTTACCCTCCTATTTTCAAATTAAATTAAGAAGAAGCTTTTGCCGCTACGGGCATGGCACTGTGGTAAAGAAGGAGGGTTCCACACGAAACATTGGAGATTCGAATTCTAGTGGCAGCTGGAAGGCAATATTTATGCAGAAAGAGAGTTGTCCTGTGGATGCAAAATTATGGTGCGTTTTGTCGCCTTTCCAAGAGTTCTGTCAACACGTTGTAAATGGAGGTCTACAGGGAGGAGAACCGCATCCCAAATGTTCAATCCAAGTGTATATAAGCTATGTCCGCATCCAAATTTGTCTAGGTGGCGGATCAAGAGGGAAGGTCGCAACTCCTCAAGATTAGTTAGGCGAAACTTGAAGAACTAAGTTAAAAAAAAAAAAATTTATTATTATTAAGAAGAAGCAACAATGACAAGAATAAAAACAAGTGAAATATTGGATACTAATTTTTCCGCTATAGCAAATTCTTTTTTAGGAATAAGCTATTTGTACATTCAAAGTGTACATTAATGTTAACATTGTGGGTGCCTAGAAATTTGTGTCATTGATTACTGTTGAAATCAATGACAAAAATATGTACCACCACACACGGTATTTAAAAAAAAAAAAATGGAAGAAGAAAAAAAAAACTATCAAAATGACTTCAACTGAAGCTACTTTTTAATGCAATCATGCTTCTTTACTAATGTCAGGGGACCACTTCTTTTTAATAAGACCCACTTTATAAATAATTTTGTTTAAATTAAAATCTCCTTCACCTTTAGTGCAAGTTGATTTTATCCCTTCTTGTTTAGCGCACGTGTTAAAATAATTTTTTGAATAATATATAAGTAAAAAGTAAGATAAAATTATGAAAAATAATAATTATTTTAAAATGTTTGATTGAAAATAAATATTCAAACGGGGCCTAATACCTCATCCAATTAGGCCAACAATAATTTGAACAAAGTTTAGGTCAAATTCAGGACCAATTATTTATGCAAAAGAAAAAAGGTCCGAGTTCAATGTCTGGATGAATAGTAGGTTTCAAGAGTTTTGCGCGTCGGAAATTTCTAAGTTTACAAATGACTATGAGACCGGAGTTGAGAATTTAATTCCCACGTTTATCTGCTGAATGATGTCTATTGCACTTTACTTGAAAATTCTGAAATATTTTAGTTTTACCTTACTTGACATGTGTGTATTAATTGAGAGAACCTCTTTTTTTTTTTTTTTTTTTTTAGCAGTAGTCATAGTTAAACGTCTGAAATACTTTATAGGTGTTAGATGATATTATAAGTTGTGAGAATATAAAAAATAATTAGTAAAAATTATTTGTGGAATGAACTTTTGATTCGAATGAAATAAAAATCAATTCGTGAAAATAATTTAAATAGTTGAAGAAGTCAATTAGAATAATTTCTCTATATCCTTTTGATCTAAATTGAACATCCAATGAATATCACCGTTTCTTCATATTCGCTTAATATGCATTGAATATATCAACATAAATTATTTATTATAGATATATATTATGTTCCTTATTTATCTTCTCTGTATCTTAACATTCGTTGAATAAAAACTTTAAAAAATTCATCTTTTGTTCCAAAATTTTTTAATGAATTTAATTTACTATCAATCAAATGGAATAAATCTGTTAAATATACATTGATCATAACTAAATAATTGATAAAATAATTCATGATAATGTTACTCAAATGATATTGTCATAGCCTTTGCTGAGGAACTTGGTGAGGGTACTAATAATGGAGCTGAGCTATTAGCATTATTATATGGGCTTCAACATGCTAAAAGGATGGGGATTAACCGTCTTGAAGTGGAGATAGATTCATTGATTATCGTTAATTGGTTAAGGAGGAAGATTTGTGGTATTTGGTATCTAGAAGATTACTGGGAAGAGATACAAGACCTAATGTCTATAATCTCTTGTAGAATTCAACACATATATCGGGAGAGTAACTCAGTAGCTGATATCCTGTCGAAATTGGGAGCATCTTGTGTTTCACATATCTGGATGGACTCCATCACAATCCCATCATCAGTTAGAGGAGCTTTGCGTATGGATAAATTGAGCATCCCCAATTTTCGTAGCTTTTCTCTTCACAGTTTGTCTTTAAATCTTCCAATGTTATTCTAGATTACAAGTAATTTGGCTTACTTTTATATGGATGGTGTTTTGCTAATCTTATGTAACTACGGTATTCATTCGCCACAAGTAAGGGTTCATCAATAAAACTCATTTAGTTTTTAAAAAAAATAAAATTAAATACATATTAAAAAGAAAAAGTAAGGAAATGAATGTGTCAAATATACATCCATCATAATTATATAGTTGACAAAATAATTAATGATAATATTGTCCAAATAATTCAAATGATTAATAAATTAAATACATATTGAAAAAAGTAAGGTATTATTAAAATAATAGAATTACAATAAAGATAGAATCGTCCAAAAAGTAATTCTTAGTTGATGTGATAATTAATATATTATATTATGGATAACATGTGTTATTGTATCATTTATTTTTTGATTTGTCCAAAAACTTACATATTATTGTGTTCAGATATGGTAGTGGGTTGGGTTCGAGGCGTGGGTGTGCCCCGCCATCCCCAAGCCTAGGTCCACCCTACACTCTTCCGCTTTGTTGCCCCATTTTAC